TGTTAATAAAACCATAAAAACCATAAAACCATAAAATTTTAAAAAATTAAAATCTGTATTGCTAAACTCTAATATTTCTCAAAGAACATCACATTGTGCAACAGTGGTGTCAAATTCAATTTCATTGAGGGCCACATCAGAGCTGTGGTTGACCTCGGAAGGCCAAGTGGGCATGGCTGACTGGGTGGGCATGGCCAGCTTGATGCCACTCCCCAAAGTGCTGGCTTGTTTCCTCTTTGCACTGGGTAGACTGGGCTGAAGCCACACTGGCCAAATGTTTCCCCTTTGGATTGGGTAGAGTGGGCCAAAGTGACAGCCCTTTTTTCCTAGTTTCTATATTTTTTTACAAATGTTAAATTTTGTTCATCTCTTGTGATATTTGTTTATCTCTTATAAGATTTATTTGTTTCCCAAAGAAGAGTTGAAACTTCTAGACACACAGCTCTATATTAAGCAATCAAGAAGTGACATCATAGACATTATTTTGTTTTTCCTTCATTTTTTCCACACACTGAAGCTAGGGGAAAAGAATTGAGATGCTTTCTGGAAGATAGATGATTGCAGCGTATATCCCAAAAGCCAGTTTGGCAAAAGCTAGATTCCAGAGTCCAGAAAGGGGATTTCATACTTCTAGCCCAGGCCCCACAGGGAGGCAATTTGATTTTTAATGGGGGATATTTGAACCTTGTTTAAACCAAGTTAATGGCCTTGAGCATGAGCATGAGCAGAGTTCACTTTTTGAGTAAAGTAAGAATTATATGTCATCGGGGCAGGGAATCAGGATTTTAAAGATGCTTAGGTGGCGCATGGTCAAAAAAAGGTTGGGAACCACTGTTCTAGACTGATATTTCCTATATTCTTTCCTTTCCTTTATCAAATATCTAAATTATCCTTGTATCAGTAACCGTTTCTTTTGTTCTAGTTGATTTTCTTAAATGGAAGCATTATAGTGCATGCATTCTCTGTGTTCTCAGTCTCTCCACAAAGTTTCATTTTCTTCTGACAAATAGTGAGAATTTTCTGCACGATTTTTCATTATAACTGACTTCATGTGGTAGCTCAGAGGAAATGAGCTACATAAGAAGTTATGAGCATCATATGAAATTTAGAGATCCAGTGCTCTTTTGTAAATGCCAGACTTACTGATCCTGAAAGTTTATAGTCTTTTCTTTAGACTGATAGAGTTAAGCATGGGATAATGCAAGCATTGATTTCCTTTCTTAATAGAAATGGGGGTATGTATAAGAATCAGTGGATCAATCAATATCAATGGAGAAGAAAAAAAACGATGTTGAGTTTGTACATGTTACATTACTTGCCACATTCATGGCAGTTGTTGGTTGTTCTGGGTATGTGAGGTGCAGGGGGGAAAATCACACAGACAATCTAGTAATTCTGATGTTTATATGAAAAGATGTAAAAAAACAAGAGGAAATTTGTTCACTTGACTGAAAATAATCAACCAAAGATTTGATCTTGATCTACCACAATCTTGCTTAACAGTTTGAAATATTTAGTTATATAAGAACACCCCAAAAACCCTACAAACAACATTACATACCTCCTCCTTACACTTTAATTTTAAATGCTGCTTGAATTATGTTAGCAGGATAACTTCTGCTTGATTGCACATTTGGGAATGTTTTGCAATAACTCAGACCAGCCTACATCACCCTTAATATGTATTAGCTAGATTTATCTCACCCCAGTCTCTGTGGCTGCTGGACTAACCTAGACAGTAAAATATATACAGAAAGGAAATAACATGCTAAGAAGGCAAGAAGATTTGCGTATGAATTGATTTTTAAAAGGCAGAAATTTGATCTTAGCATTTGTATCCCAAAATATTCCTGCTTTAAAAATTAATGTTGGGGCTGCAAAGCAAAGAAGAGAAAAGCAAAGCAAAGAAAAAAATATTGTTTACTTGGAGTCTATAAAATATTTTCTGCATACATAATAAATATATTTGTGCCATCACAATTGATTGGCAGTAAAATGGTGTTAACACACGAATGGCACATATTTCAAAATCTTTGCATGAGTGACCTGCATCATATAGCATTAAATTTAGATGTGCCCATTTTAATTTTTTCATCTTAGAGGATGGAAATGTAATTATTCTGCATCACAATCATTATGCAAAGGGGATTTTGTTTTGCCTTTACAAATGTGTCATCGTTCAGTGCTTGAATATGTAATAAATGCTCTAATTTATTCTACTCAACAGATAACAGAAGATGGCTCAGTAAGTGCTACAGAACTCCATCAACCTTTAAACTATTTATAAAAAAAAAAGAATGAAAGGCACCAGGAAGAAGTAACTAATTATACTATAGCATCATGCGCAGAACTGAAGGATGGTCTTCCCTCTTATGCTCACTACGTTAATACTTAGCTCTGACATTCTGTCTGTTTTGACACGAGTATTATACAGAAATGAACATCTTTTATATTGTAACAGAAATCAAATGCAACATTACAAATAAGATCACAGCTAAGGAAAAGGTGTTCAATTGTTTGGATGGTATATCTGTCTTCTCATGCAAGCTTTGGTGACTGGAAATTTAGTACAGGTAGTCCTCGACTTAAGACCACAATTGAGCCCAAACTTTCTGTTGTTAATTGAGACATCTATTAAGCAAGTTTTTTCCCATTTTACAAAATTTCTGACCACAGTTATTAAGTGAATAACTGCAGCTGATAAGTTAGTAACCTGGTTGTTAAGTGAATTTGTCTTCCCCTTTGACTTTGCTTGTCAGAGGGTTGCAAAAGATGATGATCCTATGACCCTGGGACAGTGCTTAAGGAGGAACCAGTTGCCAAGAAGACTGAATTTTGATCACATGACCATGGGGGTGCTGTGAAGGTCGTAACTGTAAAAAACAGTTATATGTCACTTTTTTCAATGCTGTTGTAACTTTGAACGGTCACCAAGTGAACTGCTGTAAGTCAAGGACTACCTGTATACATTGAACAGCTAATAAGCATTCCACATGCATTGACTGTTTTATACCAATTTATTTTAGGCGATACAGTAATGTGAAATGAATCACCATTCTGTGTTATTTTTAATGGATTTTTTGTTCATGTGACTGTTATTTATAAAGTGATATATTTGTTATAAAAAGATATACCGATTATTTTAGCCTTTGTACACAAGGAGAAATGATAGTTAAACGAATCCCCAAAGAAATTTGAACAATAAGCTCAAAAATGCATGTGCCTTGTTTTAAAGCCTTTATTTAAATAAGGAAACCAAAATCAGCAGGCATATATGTATTCATGGCTAGACTTAGCTGGAATCATCTTTTTCTTAAAAGATACATAATTCTTCCTAGATATTGTAGTGTCTATGCTGTTCACTGGATGTTTACTGAAAAGTTAATCCTATTTTGTTCAGTGGGGAAAAGGCCAGTTCTTCCTTAATGACCTTCTGGAATCACTCAGCCTTTATAGAGGTAAAATAAAGCTTGTCCTTGTGCCACTTATTTTGACAAAATAATGGTTGGATAATTGTAGAAGATGCTATCCCTAGGTAGAAAAAGGCTTGGTAAGCACCTGAGGATTGCAGTGTGTGTGTGTGTGTGTGTGTGTGTGTGTGTGTGTGTATGTATGTATGTATGTATGTATGTATGTATATGTATAAATGGCGCTTTTGAGTGAATATCTCATTACATAGTCACAGTATTATATATATATAAATTCCTGTAGAATGCTGTAATAAAAGAAAACCTGGGAAATTGCTTATCATCAATTCAAGAAGGATCAAGGGCACTTTGTTAAATCACAGATTAAATTTCAAGAGTGACTTTCCGGATTATATCTTACTGGTTGCTTTAATGAAAATGAACTCCATTAGCAGTTACTAAATGTTTTCAGTGATAACTTATGTCTATGGTCAGCTGAGCCGTAGTTGAATACATGCTTCATTGAAACAAGCAGAGCCTGGTGCATTGCGGCTGCAAGGAGAGGGAGCAAAGCCATAGAGATTTGTTTATCTTGCTGTAGCATTATTCAAGGCATAACTCTGTAACCTTTTATCGGTAGATGGGGTTTCTTTTGCAAGGTATACATTCTGAGGGATGGTTCTTAGCAATCCCGATCAAATAGTTGCAGTTATCTTTCCTCTGTAATCACTTTTCTCTAGCTAGTTTTTTTTTAATAGAAAGGAGAAGGAAGACATGGGAGGAATATAAATGGCAGAGGATGTCATCAGCACTTCATAAAATGCCATAAATGAGATACTGTGACTATGTAATGAGATATTCACTCAAAAGCGCCATTTATTCTAGCCTACAATGCTGATTTATAGGTGGAAGTAATAAGTTGTGCCATAGGAATATATTGAACAAGAAGTATGGTTGAAATGTTCCAATAGAGGTTGGAATTGGCATTTTATACATCCAATTTATGAGTATATTTTTGGTACATTTAGAATAATTCGTTTTGAGGCTGGAATATTTTAGTCATGACAGTTTTTTGCACATTTTTGCTTCTTAACTAGAGTGAAAGTAGCACTTGCACTTAGATTTATATACCACTTCACAGTGCTTTATAGCTCACTCTAAGCAGTTGACAGAGTCAGCATATTGCCCCCAACAATCTGGGGCTGGGAAGAAAGTAGCAACTTAAGGAACTATTATTGTTGAGGGGAAGTGTATGTTCTATTTCCTTTGTCTTTGGATCTTTCCAAATGATAATTTATTGGTAACCACTCAGAGTTCTCTTATCAAAACCTAATGTCCCAATGTACCTGATGTCAAATAGGTTGACCTTCTTCCCATCATGGAATAGAAAAGAGGGGGGGGGGGTTACTGCATAGCAAGGTACATAACCATTAAAATGGTGAGATATGTCTGCTATTAATGAGGCAATTCAGTAGAGGACAGAGTCCCAACAAAAAAAGTATGTGGAACATTTAAAGATCACACTTAGTCTAGGTGGTCCTCGATTTACGACCACAATTGAACCCAAAATTTATGTTGCAAAGTGAGAAATGTATTGCGTGAGTTTTGTCCCATTTTGCGACCTTTCTTGCCACAGTTGTTAAGTGAATCATTGCAGTTGTTAAGTTAGTGANGATGGAGGCGTGACCTCCATCCCTGGCTCTCCAGAGATCATCGGTCAATGCGACCAAAGCGGTTTCATATTCCAATCCCGAGGGGAATCTTGGTGCTTTCTGAGCTTGCTTGTTTTCTTGCAGACATTTCATTACCCAAACTAGGTAATATCATCAGTGCAGATCACCTGCCAATTGTTGATTTTCTTCAGTAAGGGAGGAGGCTTGCTGTAGCCAATGATATTCTTTAGGCTTTGCTGGTTCACTAGCTGAGAACTGATTCTTCAGTTTTTCAGAGGGCAATTTGTCATTTCCTCCTGAACTGTTGCTTTATCTACTTTCAGATTTTTCTCCATTTAATTCTTATTTTCTAAGCTAAAGCATGTGAAAATGTGTTATAGAGGACGAGCTATGAATTTTGCTGGTGGAATTTAAAACTCTGTCAGGTCAGCAAAGTTACTTAATTATATCTAAAATCTTATTTTATTTTGGGGAGCGATAAGTACACATGTACAGAGAGAAATTTAATTAAGAAAAACTAGACGTAGATGAATAAAACTTTTGGAGCTGCAAATTGAGCAATAGCATGACTTGCATTACAGATGGTCCTCGACTTACCACCATTCGTTTAGTGACCATTCGAAGTAGTGAATGTACATTTGCATTGAAAAATGACATTTTCACACTTATGACCATTGCAGCATCTCCATTCTCATGTGATCAAAATAAGAATATCATATTTACGATGGTTGCAGTATCCCAGAGTTATGTAATCACCATTTTCAGCCTTCTGACAAGTAAAGTGAATGGGGAAACCAGATTCCCTTAACAACTGTGTTACTCACTTAACTACTGCAGTGGTTCCCCTCACAACTGTAGCAAATAAGGCCTTAAAATGGGGCAAAACTCATTTAACAACAGTCTTGCTTAGCAACATAAAATTTGGGTTCAATTGTAGTCATGTCAAGGACTACCTCTATAGAGCTTATTTGCATGCTTAATGTAACCTTTTTTTTGTTTACCCATATTTTTAATTGGACAATGAAGTAAATCAATACAATTTGACTCCCAAGTTGCGAACCCTCTCTGAGGGGTGTAGAATTTGACCCCCCAGCCTGAGCGATGGAGCACTGGTNGAGACCAATGGGAAGCCAGTGCAGCTCGCGGAGGATAGGTGTAACGTGGGTGTACCTAGGGTGCCATAAACGATATTTTACTCTTGTGATACAAGCCCCATCTCTTATCTACATGAGTTGTAATGTCACAAAGCAGTAGGAGTTTGCAAAGTACTGTTTTGTCATTTGACAAAAATAGACCCTGTAGATGCCACTGCTCAGAGATCAGGATTAACTCTCTTCTGTAATGGACACCATTGCTTGAGGCATATCTGGCAATTGAACCTTTTTATCAGAATGGGCTTTTCCCCTAGAGAGCTTCAACCCAGGAGCTGAATATCTCTGCATTGAGAGGTATGCGCGTGCTCTAACTATGGATTTCACACCCTGAATCTGAAATTTAGATTGGATAGCCTGGAAGACACTTCTAGCTTAGATTCCAGGAAGGATTCCAGGAAGTGTTGCAGGTAATGGGGAAAAATACTAGACATGCATTTTTTTTAAAAAAACCAAAAACCTCAGGACTGTAATGTATGTGGACACTGAAATTTTGTTAGAAAAATGAACGAATGGATACTTCATTTGGCCAAGTGTGATTAGACACACAAAGAATTTGTCTCTGTTGCAGCTCTCACTGTACATGCACAGCAACAGAGAAATAATAATCATAATGATACTAATAAGAGGATGTAGTAGAGAAAATAAGAAGGATAATAATACTACAGCCATACAACATGGGTAGATATACTTAGACATAAGACAATATTGTGAGGATTAATTGTTCAGAGGAATGATGACATGAAGGAAAAAAAACAGGTTTGTGTTTAGTTGTTTTGGCAGGCAGTGCCATATAGCGGCATCGTGAGGGGAAGAGTTGAAACACTTTATGTCCAGGATGTGAAGGATCTGCAGATATTTTCTCAGTCCTCCTTCTGACCTACACAATACACAGGTCTTCTATAGAAGACAGCCTGGTTGCAGTTGTTTTTTCTGCAGTTCTAACTATTCATTGGAGTCTGTACCTGTCCTCAATAATTCCTCTGTAAAACTCTATACTGAGGCAGTCTGAACTTCCTAAGTTGATGCAGGAAAAATATTCTTCGTTGTGCCTTTTTAATGATGGTTCTAATGTTAGGTATCCATTTTAAATCCTGGGAGATTATAGAACTTGAAGGACTGTATTGCTAATACTGTGCTGTTGAACATAATAAGAAATGGTAGAGTAGGAAAGTTCCTCCTAAAATTCACTCTCTCGTCTTCACAGTTTTAAGCCTGTTTAGCTCCAGATTGTTTCTGCTGCACCATAAGGCCAGTTGTCCAAACTTATGAGGTCACCATCTTGAATGAGACCAATGACTGTTGTATTCTCTACAAACTTCAGTATTTTAACAGGGACCTTAGAGATGCAGTCATTGGTATAGAGACAGAAGAGC